CCCCCCAATAATTTGCTAATAATCATTCTTTTTTCAAAATCATGCAAACTTTATCATTTAATCTGTGACAAACTGCAAAAAATGAAGATATTACTCATACTCCAGATCGTTCCTAGCGTAGAAATTTTAGCTGAATTTCTGTCGCGCATTTTCAAGAAAATCCCACAAAATCTGCACATTTTTGATGAACTAATGATTTATTTTGTCATTTGCGTGTTGGGTCTTGCGAAAGAAAACTCTGAAAATGCCATTTCAGACCATCTAGAGACTCCAGATTTTCGAAATTTTCTCAAATGTTCTGCCTTCATTTCCGCGCAACTGCCATTTACGACGAAAATTCCCGCTGCGCATTTATAATACTACAGTCTGGCCCATACTTTCCTGTAAATTTCGACATACTAAAACGCTGTTTTCTGACTATCAGAATTCTGTTAAATCTTCCCCCAAAGTCCAGGAAATGGCATTTTAGAGACTCTAAATTTAAAAATTTCCTCGGGCCTTCGGTCCTCGCTTTCAGCCCCCCCAATCGAAAAGAGCTTCCTACGGCCCTGGAAAATATACACTTGTAAGTTTTTCAAAGGCTGCTTGTCGTTCTTCGTCGGGACTTGTACAATTTTGGTCGTTTTTGACAAGTTTTATTATCAAATTAACGATTTTTTTACATTATATATAGAATTGTAGATCGCATTCAGTTAACGTAATTCAAACTATAGCTGTCAAATTAACTATATAACAGCCTATAACAAATACATAATTCTGGAGTTTTCTATTCCTTATTGTCTATTCCTAAATCTGCCTTTTTGCGAGTATGTGCGGTGTTTCGATTCTATTATAGAACCATAAAAAGGTTCGAACATGCTTGATTTTTTGCACGTTCAAAGCTAGTCATCTGTAAAAGTTGACACGAGTGTGAATAGCCTCGGGTCCAGTTCTCCACAGCTATTGAGCTATTGTACCAACAGGGATTGGTATAGAGTTTTATCCATTTTAAGAGGACGGGATATTTTTGTGACTACTTAGGGTAAACAAACGCTAGGAATTTTTTTGGGGGGGACAACTTAATAATTTGTGAGTCACAATTCTAGGCGTGCTCCCCCGGAAAAGATTGAATTTTGGGTCTCTGAAACGGCATTTCCTGCATTGTGGAGGCACTTGAAAAAAAATGTAAAGGTCTTAATAAATCAGTTTGTAATAGTGACAAATATTCACAATACTTGACAATTTAATTCAGTGGAGACATTTATCATTTGTAGCCGACTTGGAGCGAGGGGGATTCGTCGAAATATTATCCGAAGTAATGACATTTCCCAAGGGGCTTTGCCCCGAGTGCGTTCTTTGAAGTTTAAAAACTTAATAATTCATCACGCCTTAGTATATTGTTCGCGTGGTCGCCGCGCGTGGTTTACACGAATCATAACACCCGGGTGATATGTAGACTTGCTCCAAGTCTCTCTTTCATTGTCATATAGTATCGATCCATTATAGTGTACATTACATAACGTAGCACGGAGAGGCGGAGCGAGAAAGAGAGACTTGTCAACTTCGGAAAATCTCGATTCAAAACTGAACCGAAAATGCAAGACTTGCTTTAATTGTTTTCCTTCAATTTCTTTCTGTATTATTTACTATTATGGAACTCATGTTATTTACACTGTGCTAGATCAGTACATATAAACACTGACAGAAAACAATTAAAGCAAGTCTTGCATTTTCGGTTCAGTTTTGAAC